GCTTTCCATCTTGGGTTAACCAATCAAACTTACAATTGTAAGTTGAAATGTTGACATCTTCTTTGTTTCATTGAAGATTGCATCACTCTATCAATGTTTCAGCAAATATTATCAAGTGAAGTCCCTGCAGAATTTATTAACCTAGATCTCATATCCTAGAGTTTAATCAAAGAAAACTTTTCACCATAATTGCAAGTCTAGTTAACTTGACTGCTCTTTTTTTCCATTTCCTTCTCTCTTAATCTGGGTATTGTATTTTTCAGGAACTTGGTGGCAAACAACTTTGTGATTGATGATTCCAACAGCAGGTTGTTACCTGTATTTAGCACATATTTTCCAAAAGTTTGTTCAAAGTGTTCTATTTTTTTTATTGGTTGTATTTTGTGGTCATTCCATATGCAGTGTCTTACCATCAGGACTGAACTGCCTTCAGCGAAATATACCGTGTTATCGTGGTTCTCCAATCTGTGAGAAATCATCAAAACTTTCTTTTGTTAGTTATATATGTTGCCTAGTTAGAGATCCTCTCTATATAAACTTAACCAAGAAATTTTTTTTTTATTGATTCATCATAATTTTTCACTTGAGTGCAGATTATTCCTTTGCAATAAATTGTGGAAGCAGTAAGACAATTACAGCTTCTGATAACACTAAGTATGAGATTGATAATGCCAATCTGACGAGTGCATCGTACTATGTGACAAACCCAACCAAATGGGGTGTCAGCAATGTTGGAATCTTTGCAGAAGCTATTAGTCCTACTTATATAGTAAACAGTCTGTCTCAGTTTCAAAATACTCTAGACTCAGAATTGTTTCAGGCTGAAAGGCTATCTCCGTCTTCACTGAGATATTATGGCATTGGTCTTCAAAATGGAAATTACACCGTAAAACTCCAATTCGCTGATGCTGTCTTCCCCAACCCGCCAACTTGGAAAAGTGTGGGTAGAAGGATCTTTGACATTTATATTCAGGTATTGGAACACAACATGCTGTAGTCTATTCTAGTCAGTGAAGAGCTTAATATTCATGCCAATTATATGCCTACATCAAAAAGAAAAACAAAAGCATCATATGTGGGACTCATTTGTATTGAGACATGGTGCACAATAGCTTACAATTTGATAAAGATCATATCCTTTTTTCTGTAACATTATGCATAGACTCGAAAGGTATTAAACTTTAATCTTATTGAAACCTTGTTTTTTGATTGAGCTAAAATATAATAATATGATTCTTCAATATAAATCATACATTTGAAATTTTGAATTGACATTTGTCACTGTTGAATATTCAGAAAAATCAAATAGCACTTTGCAGAAATATGGTACTTATTTTCTGCACTTACCATATTGATCATGCTTTGACAATCAATGGAAGGATATAAAGACGAACAAAACTTTGTAATTTGCATAGAGGTACTAATATTGGTCATTCTTTTCTTATTTATCTCTTCCTTTATAGGGTGTTCTCAAAGAGAAAGACTTTGATATAAGAAAGGATGCTGGTGGCAGCTCCACAAAAGCTGTTGTTAAGGAATTCATTGCCCCGGTAACAAATAATTTCCTTGAAATCCATTTTTTCTGGGCTGGAAAGGGTACTTGTTGTGTACCAACACAAGGTTTCTATGGCGCGTCCATTTCAGCTATCAGTGTATCTCCTTCCGGTAGTAACTTGCACAGTTTGGTTTCTTTTTCTGCAAGTGTTGTATCAATTTCTAATGTTAGAGCTACCGTGCAGACTTCACTCCAACTGTATCTAACAAACCACCAAGTACGGATTCAAATAAGACACGTACAGGTCTGATTGTGGGTATATCAGCTGCTGTTGCTGTTTTAGGGTTGTTGACTATATGCGGAATTCTTACCTGGAGAAACAGAAAAAGAAGATTAAGTGAGCAGAATGAAGGTAATTGTTGTTCATGAGTCTGTTACCATGATAACCATAGGATGCTTGATTAACATTTCTGTTTTTTTTTTTGGCAATCTTTTGCAGTATTCACAGGACTAGATGTGAAACCTTACACCTTCAGTTATGCTGAACTGAGGACTGCAACCGAAGACTTCAATCCTTCTAATGTAGTTGGGGAAGGAGGATTTGGCCCAGTGTTTAAGGTAAATATATTAATGAATTAGCTAGCACCAGAAAAAAATTATCAGCATTTGAGCTCTTAAAAGTCACAATCTGTTCATACCTTTAAATACAAAGCAAAATGTAGATGAGAAGGTAGTATTTTGTTTATATGTTAAATAGTTCTTTATGGTAGCAAGAAATCCTAAGAATTCCAGTAAAAGGATAGCAATTGGTGAACCAGGTCTGACAACATGGTGCCTTTTCCTGTAAGTAATCTATGACGAAAAAGAAGGCAATGCAAAGAGATATTTGCTCATTACCAGTTGATTAAAACAAATTCTTGTGTCATGTAGGGTAAACTGACAGATGGAAGAACAGTAGCTGTCAAGCAACTCTCAGCAACATCTCATCAAGGAAAGGGCCAGTTCTTGGCAGAGATTGCAACTATATCTGCTGTGCAACACCGCAACCTTGTAAAGTTGCATGGCTGCTGTGTCGAGGAAGAAAAGCGGCTTTTAGTCTATGAGTATTTAGAGAACAAGAGCCTCGATCAAGCAATTTTCGGTATGTTTTGGTGGGCATAGCATGATATTTTGTAATGTGCATAGCAGAATTAGCACGTAATTTTTCCAAAGAGGATACCACAACTGCTGCACTCATGATCTTTCTACAAAGCAACTTTGAAACAATTCACCGATGCTATATTTCATAACTCTATTGAGGGCTTTCAAGTCCATTGTGAATGCACATAGAGGCAATTTGCAACATATTCATAAACCACTAGATCCAATACAATCAAAATTCTCTTGCATAAATAGCACACGATTAAATTCTGCGACAATATTCTTGGATTGCAGGGAAGAGTGATTTACACCTTGACTGGCCAAAGCGCTTTGAGGTATTGTTGGGTGTAGCAAGAGGTCTAACCTATCTTCATGAGGAGTCAAGAGTGCGAATCGTGCATAGAGATGTCAAGGCTAGTAATATTCTCCTAGATGCTGACCTCAACCCAAAAATCTCAGATTTTGGTCTGGCGAAACTCTATGATGACAAGATGACTCACATTAATACCAGGGTTGCTGGTACAATGTAAGAAGTGCTTTTAACTTTTACATCAAAGCAATCTGTAGTAGCTTTTTACTGAAAATAATATTAGCTAACCATATATGATGGTCGTATCAGTGGATATCTGGCACCAGAGTACGCCATGAGAGGACATCTCACGGAGAAAGCTGATGTGTTTGCATTTGGGGTGCTGGCTTTGGAGATTCTTAGTGGAAGGCCTAATTCTGATCAAAATCTTGATCCAGAGAAGGTTTATCTGCTCGAATGGGTATGTCAATAGGATCAGAAGAATTAGCTGATACATAACTACAGTCACTTGTATGTTACTCAAGAAGATAAAAACTAAAGAAACCACAGGATCAACCACATCTTTTTCTTCTTATTCATCTAAATTTCAATCTTTAGCTTGTTGTCTACATTTCATTAAAACTCTCATGGTAGAACTTCAAATTGGCATTGTTGATATACAAACATCTAATCTTCTAATGTCTCAGGCATGGACACTACATGAGAATAGGTGCGACTTGGAAATGGTGGACAAAAAGCTGACATCATTCGACAAGGGAGTAGTCAGCCGCATCATTGGAATAGCTTTGCTTTGCACCCAAGCATCACCTGTGCTTCGACCACCGATGTCAAGGGTCGTGGCCATGCTGGTAGGAGATACCGAAGTGACAGACGTCACCTCAAGGCCTAGTTACTTGACTGAATGGCAACACAAGGATGTAAGCAGCAGCTATGTAACCGGCTACTTCGATAGTTCAACCCAAAGATCAGAAAATACCCAAGTGACGTTCCCATCTAGTGAGAGCACAGCGGTCAACATGGAAAGCACACCTTTGACGACACAACCATATATGAACAAGGCCATTGAGGAGGGCAGGTGATTATCGATTGACATGGTTGTGCGTGTACTCATGAGGATTTCATCATTACCATCATTACTCAGTTATTGCCTTTAAAGATATTGACAGTAAATTTGCAGAACCTTATCACAACTTTCTATTGTTAGCTTTATGTTTATCAATAGTACATTCTCAGTCTCATGCTTCTCAAATCTTTCAAAGAATTATATACCTGTAAGTTTGGTGTTTCTTGTTCTTTTTAGTCTTTTTGGTATCACCTTCTTCCCTATAATGACATTGCAATGCATTTCTTGTACTTGATGCAGCCATTCTGAACGACATCCTATCAATTATAGCTGACAGTGTAACTCTACAGAGAATTCTTATTCTCATAACAGGAACCACCTCAGCAGGATCATGTTGATGAACTCATGACAACTGGTAGAATTCTGAGTATTTACTTGAGTTTCACAAGAATCAAGCAGGTATTATTATCACCCTGTCACCTAATATTGTCATAGTTCTTAAATGAGTGTCACCACAAGCAAGCAGGTGATCTTATTGCATCACTGCCTTCAAAGATATGCTAACACTGTCAAACTTCAGATTGATCTCAAAAGATGAACTCGATGATGGCACAGATGCTAAATAATTTTCTTGACTTTGACATCATTAATTTCTAAGGACGTCTCTATTCCAAAAGAATTAAACAGTCATTTGCTCTTTGCTACATCAAACAAAGTGACACCACAATACAATGTGAAGATAGATTTGAGTATACTTTTCTATCACCCTTTACGAATATGATCCCTATATTATCCTCAACCAACCATGAAGGATTTCACATAGCTATCAGGCATATGCAATTGGCAATTCATTTCCTCAGAGATTGCTAACCAAAGATCTAAAATTCCGTGCACCTCTTGAAACAGAAATGTGGGAGTCAATGCACTATATATTCTACAAGCATCATTGAATCTATCAGATTAAAATTCAGCTATTTAAAAAATGAAAATTATAACCTCAACCACTGAAGCATTATTTCCTTTGCACTAACATAGTTATTTATGCCCTTAAATAAAAGCTGAAATAAGTGGAGTACCTTTCTTCCATCTCCACCCCGGTTCTCTGAACAGTTGACTTGGTCCATCATCATTCATGGAATGCAGCATCCACCAGTGCAGGTAATTGCCTTGTTCTCAGTTGCAGAAGCTGAGAGAGACTCCAAACTAAACTCCTAAGCATGCAGAAATGGCCCTCACCGTCACACATGATACACCATGCCAACCTCAACCAGTGAAGCGTGTGGGATCCCAAGAGAAACTGCCGGACTCCGAGAATTCCGACGAAGAAACCCATACACCACGTCGATCGCGAGCTTCTTGATCAACGGCGAGGACTCGTGAGCTACCACACACGTGTGGCCAATCATGTATGAAACGCCGGCCTCCCGACCCTCCAGTAGCTCCCACACCTCCTGCCTCACTTCTGCTGTTGCTTCATCCCCTTGGAACCGCACTCTCTTCCTTCCACCACCATCCCCTCCACCCAAAACTAACCAGGACGGCGACGACTCGCCGATCGAAGACAGCTCACTGTCCGGCTGCGACAAGCCTCCACCTTCCTGCCGAAGGAACTGCGCAACCTTCAGCAGCAGCTGGTTCTCGAATTCATAGCTGTCCGAGCGTTCATCCTTGTACCCGTACCTGACGACGCATCTGAAGAGCCCGTGTGCCGGTTCTCCAATCCTTGCCACCAAGAAGCGTTCATCATGTGGCACTTTGGGCACTGTTAGCGTCTGCAAGCACACAAATATGAGGACGCGATGGAAGGCAGGGAAGTTGGTGACGAAGTGAGCGAACATGGGCGGGACGCCATTAGTGGCGTTGGAGTAGACGAGGCCAATTCCAGGGACTCGGACGAGGCCAAGGCTCGGGGTGATGCTGAGGAGACGATCGAGGCTGACCTTGTTCTGGAGCTCGAATGCCCGCTTCTTAGCAGTCCCGTAGTGCCAAGTGAACATAGTCATCAGGATGGCCATCGAGATTAGGAGGGGAAGCCATCCTCCATGGTGGACTTTGGCAAGGCATGCAGACAGGTAGAGGAGTTCCAAGGATCCAAATGTGATGGTGAAGAGGAGTGCCAGCAAAATGGATTGCTTCCATACTGTAGTGATGATAAGGAACATCAAACATGTTGTCACCAGCATTACTGTGATCACAGCTAGACCTGGAAATGGGAAGGGAAAACTATGGATCATGAGATACATTTGCAGATACCAGAAGAACGAGGAAGAAGCACATACCATAAGCAGTTCCAATCATGAAAGTGTCTCTGAAACCAATGGTGAGAATGAGGCAGAGGAGCATCAAGATCCAGTTCACCTCTGGAATGTATATCTGGCCATGGATATGGCTCGAGGTGTGTATGATCCTCACACGTGGGAAACATCCCAAAGCTCTGCATTGGCTGATGATGGAGAATGATGCAGAGATGATTGCCTGACTGCCTACAACTGTGGCTAATGTAGCAATGACAAACACTGGCCAAAATACACCTTCTGAATTGGGAAAAGATTAAACAGGATTAGGACAAACATAAGCGACGTTGCTAGAAAACTGATGCTTAAAATGATTAATAGAATGATCAACAGAGCATTTTGTTTGAAGTTGCATTTCAACAAATTTTGGCAGCATTTTCTGAAAAAGAAAAAAGTTCTACTTCTGAGTTTCTTGAATCATTTATGTTTATCTGATCATTGGAGCTAAATAAAAGAGATAGTGAAATTAAAATGCTCCCATTCGAATATTTTCTTCGGGAAGTTTGCAAATCCAAGTTTAAGAGGTTGCCTGCTCGTATACCTGGAAGGGCTTTGAAAAAGCTTTGTTGGAGATCCTCTGTGTGCTTGGACAGGTACGCTGCTTCGCCCATGTAGGCCAGCACCAAGCAGGGATATACTACAGCTGCAAATGCTATCTGCAAAGACAGCAAACTAAATCTAGATAAAACTTCAAATATGCACCAACTCACAGTAGGGAGGAGTTATCTGGATTACGGAATGATGCAAATGACAGTTTGAACTTTGAAGTATGCAAAAGTTAAACAAGAGATTGTCTCCGAATGCCTAGAGTGCATCAATCTCCAGAAACTTGAACACTCTGCAACTGGTTTGCAGTACTGGTGGAAAAAAATGTCAATGTCATACACACCCACGAATGTCAATGAACAACTAAAACTATTTCTGTTGTTACAAGTATGATAATATGTATAACATGTACAATTCTGATTCCTAACTCCTCAAGAAACATGCCAAAGGCCAAATACGACCGTGTAGTCCATGTTTATGGTATATTAGTGTTCCACTTCCTGTTAAAGTTAATTTTTGCTGAATCTCAAAGTGGACGCTGAAATTAGAAGTTTGATGGACCAATTGCATCCATGATCACACCAATTTAGCTAAAGTTAATAGCCAAGTTTTCTACTCAAGATATAGCAATACTAACAGTTTGCTCACAGAACATTGACTTAAATTTTACATATGAACACTGCTAATTTCAGAAGCCCTCAACTGGTGAATACTTTATCCAGGTGTTATCGGCAACTGGATCATACTTAAAAATGAAAATTCCATACATATTCCATATAAAAATGAAAAAGGATGATTGACAATTTCAGGTCTTTGATTCACAAATACATTTGAATTACTCCAAAAAGTAGCCTTAGTCTTGGAGAAATTATATAAAAGAGCACATATGAGCACATGTAATAGCGATGCACTGCCTCAAACATCATAATCATTGTAGAAAGAATACAAATGGTTACGATAGGACATTGTTTGGTTGCCTGCCATTATAAATACTTGTAACTAGAAATTGTATGAGATTGTAATGTTGCATCCACAACTGTAATTTGTGTGTGCTTTATTTGGTTATCTGTATTTGCTGTTGCAATCATTCAAAATCCAGTTGGCATTAGAGGATGGTGGTAGCTGAGAAAGGATGGAAAAAAATGATAATCAAGAAGGGGAATTGGAAGATGGACATTTGTTAGGAACGACAGATGAAAAAAATTAGGCTTTTCATTATGTTTGCAACATATCAACTACAATAACCAACATACCAATAATCTCTTCTATGCATCAGTGACACTCAAACTACAAGAGAAGATAGAAATGGTTTATGGAAAAAGAACATGATTGGAATTCTCTGTGACGAAAAGGCAAAAACTGAGACAAAAAATCATAATTGTAAAATTAATAAAAAAACAGTGGTCCAATAGGAAAGAAAATTTCATGCCCTTAATGATATGTAAGCAACAATTTTCAACTGGTATTAAAATAACCAAGAACCTTCTAATGTGTGATGATCATAACTTTGCAATCAGCCTTATAATGATCATTAATAAGTCTGCCACCGAAAAAATGTCTTACCCTAATCGAAATCTTTGAGAAGTGCCCTAGGTCAGCAAACATTGCCTCAGCACCTAATAAACCACACTAGTTATTAGACAGAGGAAATTTTAAAAATAAAAATAAATAAACATGGCAAGCACAAAACAGCAAACCTGTAATACAAAGGACAAGACTGCCCAGTGAACTCCATCCATCTTTTCCAGCTTTATTAAAAAAGTAATAAATATAGTGTGGAGAGAGAGCACGAACAATACGAGGGTTCCACATAATTGTGTTGTAGATTCCAATAGTACTTAGGCAGACAAGCCAAGAGATCAAGATCGGAGCAAACAGAAAGCCAACACGATGTGTTCCATGGTGTTGCAGAGCAAAAAGGCACATTAAGATGATACAGGAAATCAAAACAGTGTAATCTGCATTAATAAGAATAATTCAGTTACATAAAAATATTGGCAGATAGCAACGCAATTGATATCAAATATAAGCTACTCAAGGAGTGGTGGGTGTAGTCCCACATTCAGAAGTAAAACATTTTTTGACAAAAGAAAATTCCTTAACCTCGAGTAAGAAGTAGCTGGTCATTTTTCAAAAAAAATTATTCCAATGTGTGTACATGAGAGCAAGTGAAATAAGAGAGAGTAAAACGCTTACTTTCATGCAAACCTGGGACCTTAATTCTGAGTCCAGAAACTGCCGAGACAACTAGGAAAGTACAAGAAGTAGACAATATTCAGTTCAAGGCTAGAAAAGGTCCCAACAACTAACATTGCCAAGTAACTCAACAATTAGTCAATCAGTGCAATTCTGCATTCAACAATTATCACCCAACAAACGAGTTCTTAAACCAAGGAAAATGGAGGGCCACAAAAAAAAAAAGTTATCCTAAATACCCTTAAAATAGAGTACCAGTTCATTAGAAAAAAAGGACTCGGTTTCACAACTCGAACCTTAATTGCAAGTTCACTTGTGCTTTCTTTCACAGAATAAGAAAGTAAAAATAGTTTCTTTATCTTATCTTACCAGAGGTTTAAAGCTTATAACCTATTTTTCTGGAAACAAGCATATCAGGAGTTTTACCTCCTTTTTTTTATACAGAGGAAATTGAAAATAGTTTTCAGATTCGAGCATGATACACAACCGATTGAGCATTTTACCTGACATTGTTGGGGTCAAAACACCATCACCGATGACCATACTTGTCCCTAATAGCACAAATAGCAGCAGCACCAGTCGAGAAGATTGATTCTTCTCAATAAACCTCTTTATTGATAAGCTAGTCCTAGTTTCATCACAGTGTACTTCCGGATTGTAAGCAGTCAAGTGCTCCTGAGCAGCATGGGGTGTGCTCAAGAGTCCCATCTTTGAGTTTCGGCACATTAATGAGTACAACGCAAAGGTCCCACCTGTATAAATTGTGAAGTGAAGAAGAGCAGAGTATAATAAGCCCAGTACCAGCTGTGAACTACAAAAGCACCTTCGCCATCATCATCTGCTGCTAGCACAAAGATAATGTACTTGCAGAGTGCGATGAGAGTAAGAGTCCAGAAAACCAGAGAAAGGACTCCAAGGATCTCAGCATCTTCCTCATGAAGGCGCAGCTTGCCCGAGAAGGTGCTCTTGTAGACATAAATGGGCGAGATGCTCAAGTCACCATATACAACACCAAAACTCTGGTAGGCCAACAAAAGAGTGGTTCTGTATGATTTCTGCAAGCAGTGACCAGTAAATGATTTCATCTCAGCATCGCCTCAGGGAAAGGAAAGCTTTTGCCAACGGAAGCATATCGAGGCATTGCCATTTCATCAAGAATTTACAGAGTGGTAAGAAAATGAAACGGAAAAGCTAATTTTCCTTTTTCTAAAATTGATTACCCAACACGAAGTGGTTTAACTTCCATACTCGATTACCACGTTCAAAATACCAAAGCAAAAATGACATTTAGAATCGAAGTCGATGGTTCTGTTTCAGTCAGTCAATCGATGGACAAGCAAATCCCCAGACCTACAAATCCAAACACTTGGACCGAAAAGTAAATCCAGGAGGGAAAAAAGGAAACGCCATGGCTGACCAAACATCCAATTTTTTTTGCGTAGACTCACCAGCTAATCCAAGAACAACAAATAAGAAAAGCAAAATATACCGAGGGCAAGCTATCCGACGCCCGAGATCGAGACTCCAAATCCATCCCGCCCCGAACCCTTACAACTCGGAGCACCAAGATTCTCAAAGCCGACCAAGTTCCTCCGTGTGATCGAGAAAACCCGGGACGCGAAATCGATCAAGGATCAGGGAGGAAGAACTGCGAGGGGGAGGAGAGGAGGAGAGGGAGCAGTTGAGGAGGAGGACGAGGAGGCAAGGAGGTGTCCTTCGGCTTCGAAGGGAGCCGACGAGCGCCAAAACGCTTTGGCCTCTTCTTCTATTTAACATACGTATTCAAGACAAAAGAAGGATGAGTTGCACTTTTAATCCCCTCTTCTCTTCTACTCTCTCAATGTATGGGTTACTTCATACATACATACATACATACATATATATAAATATATATATATATATATAGTTATTAATTATGAGAGCAAATACTTAAAATATGATATTTGACATCAGTGCTTCTTAAAATAATTTTCAAAATTGTTATAATGGTGTATATATTAAACATATTTTAGGTTTTTTATTTACTTTTATATATTTTCATAACTCAAGTTATTTTTTGATAATAATGATTATATAGTGATTAATTTGAGTTCTGTGATTAATCTGAATTCTCTTTGTCACATCTTATTCAACTTTCAATTACTTTGCAAAGTTTTATGGTGTGACTCATAGTCTTAATTTGATTAAAATATGACAAAGAAAATATAAATAGAAGTTTGAATGCTTTTGATTTAATTAATATATTATTTTATTGATGACAAGAAAATATACATGCAGTTCATCCTAAATAGTTAAACATCAAGATTTATTGTTGGTTTTGTAAGATATCATTATTAATTTAAATAAGCTATGGCAAGAGACACTGAAAAGTAATCCCAAAAGATGGATGTAATGAATTGTTGATTGTCAACTCAAATACTTAAAAATGCTAATTGACATCAGTACTGATTCATTTTCAAAATGATTCAATGCATTTTAGGGTTTTTATTTTTTATTTTTTTATAACTCAATTTTTTTTTTTGAAAATAATGATCAAATAGTGATTCATTTGTGTGATCCATAAATGGAAGAGATATATATGGAGAATATTAATGCTATTTTTAAACTTTGTAGGGGTATGATAAAAAAAAAAACTTTTGAAATTTTTAAACAATATTTCTTTTTTTTTGGAAGGCTGATCTTTCTATTAGTTTTTCACTATCAAATTAATGTACTAATTGATTCATTCCCAAATGATGACAAAACTTTAGCTATTTATCAAACATAACATTTTCCCAATATGATGCATGTTCAAATGAAGAACAGCAGACAACATGGGAATTCTTGTGATCTGAATCCTTTCCCTCTTGCTCCTTTCTTCCACTTCTTCATTTATTCATGCATCACTGTGTGTTTTGACAATCTTTCTATAATTTTCCATGGATTTTGTGAATGCTTCTTTGTTCCTTTTCTTCCATATCTGCTACCTTGTTCCTTTTTCCTGTCAATTTGATTGACTGTTTTGTGGTAGTGATGTGAAATTTATATCTATGCATGTCTGTGTTTGGCATTGCCACTAACAAACTTGAGAGAGAGAGAGAGAGAGAGAGAGAGAGAGAGAGAGAGAGAGAGATTTTTTCCCTTTCCTTTTGGTGATTATTACAAATTACTATTATCATAATCCAATAGACTCTTGCTAAGAATAAATTCAGTGGAATTTTCATTGGTGATCATCACCTAACATTCACCAATCTAATTTTTACTGAAAATTTTCATGGAAAGAGTGATAATGCACTTTAAGAAATCATACATCACAGGGAAGGAAAGAAAGAATGAGACACTTAGAACTCTTTTAACTTTTATTCATATCAGCTACTTACAGACTCTTTATCTTTTTTTAATCTCTTTTGACTACCAAATTCCTCTTTGTCTTGTATACTCAGTATATTTGTCTTAATTTAATTAATACACTTAAATCAAATTCCTATCTAATCACAAAATTCAATTCTAATGTTCCAACAATTTTAGCATTGGCAGTCAGTCATGGCTATTCTGGATTTAGAAGCTCCTTAAATTTGCACTGCAACCTGTCTGCCCCCTGTCATGTAAAGAACATTGCTTGACTTCATAAGAGGACAACCTGGATTGTCCTTTCCAACTCTTTAACTCAGGTCGACTTCCAACCTCCTCATGTCTCTGTGAGGGGAGGATGTGATCACACATTTCTCAGTGCACAATAATTTCAAAAGCATAACATCTTGAGGAACTAAGAACTCTATGAGGGCATGCTGCCATCTTTGTGTGTCAGGTAAGAGTTCATCATGTTGACTCCAATTCAAGAAAAAGTAAATTTACTCTCAAGATGCAAATAACAGTATATATATATATATGTTCGGTCATTTATGGCCTGTATAGGCCATCTCCATCACGCCATCTACCAGGCAAAATTTCCTCCTTAGCTTCTATACCAGTCGAGCTTTAACTTCTCTTTTTGTTCCAGCAAGCTTTTGGTGGCAAGAAGCAGAGTTTGTTCGGTGATGCCAACCAAATGAAGCAGGAAACATCTGATTCAAGAAAGCCTGAGGTGCATTGCTTTGGATGAAACGAAACTATGGCGCATTCCAAATGATCACCATGGTTGACAGACTGCACTGTCATCTGCATTCATGTTGCTGCAGTTGACTCCCGAGTTCAGCTTCCACCTTCAGTTTATTTGCTTCTCCATCAAGACTCCTGCATCCCTATGTCAACACTCCTGTGTCGATTCATCATCTTTGCTAATCGTTAACACTCGTATTATCTCTTCAGGACACGTATTTGTTTTGCAGGTTCTCTTGGGACGACTCGGTGGATCCATGATCGAAGACTCCACTTTGCTCGGTAGTGTCATTGCCTCTTACGACAGCGACAATGACTGGTTTCGTCTAGTGGCTAACCCAATCACTATGTCCAGTATTTGGTATCAAGCGGATATGAAGATGATGAAGCACCAAACCTTGTGAAAGCCATTACATCTATCCATCATCGACAGACAGACCCATTCATCCGTTTCTTTGAGAATATTGATTCATGGATGAGGCCGATACAAGTCTTTGATGTTGACCACTGCAAAATCCCACCACCACCACCACAAGGGATCAGATGCTGATAGAACGAACTCTTTGATACGAGCCCATTCTCAAAACTTGAGCCTGGATATCAATCACCACCACAAGTAACTCGAAACCAATACCCCATGCTTTTCATTCCTTGTTCGGCAACCAATTTGATATCATAGGCACAGCATATATACTCTCTAATTCTATATCCAGAACAACAGGGAGAATCCTCTGATACCGAAGCACAGGAAAGAGTAATGTACCTTCATTCCATGCGTCTTCCAATTGCATCAGGACTGCCACTGAGTTCTTGAGCAAAGCAGGCAAAACAGTCATCTGGTACTCACTCTGTTTTAGAAAGACAGACATTTGAGGTCTTTTTGAGTGATTACTTGGTGCCAAAAGCATCTCATTCTCATTCCAATCAATCTACTGTGCCGGTCTCCTCGGCCACCACTCCATTCGATCTTCTGGAGATGGCTCAAAAAGGAAGAAATCTTTGTAAGAAAGACACAGATATCTTACAATTCACCTGTTCAAGTAAAATGAAGAAAAGAAACAAAGTTTTAACAGGTGAGGCTTAGGCAGCCAGCTCAATTTTTCAAAAAAAAAAAAAGATTGCCTTCCTATTTTTGCAAATTAATTAGATCAGCTCAGGTCAAGGGCATATGTAGATTGATGCTTCTGTACTAAAATATAATATATAAAACACATGACATACCAAGCTGTATATTTTCTGTACTTCAAGTTATATAATGTTATGCATATTTCTCATAAGACTTATAATTGTGTCATGGGCTCAAATGATCGCGGAAGCCCTCGTGGATTATTCTGTTTACTGAACAGGTGGCCCAACATTGACCTCTCATGACTACTTTTACAACCCAATTTCTTGCGGAGGTATCACCACATACATCTTCAAAGTTGCTTCTTGCCCTGGCCAACCATCTATTCACTAAACTCTTTGTTTTCTTTAGTGTTTTTTTTCTACCCTTGTCTACCGTATTGATGGGTGCACCTCCTGCCCCACTTGAAGCCATCTTTCTCCAAAATTGTTTTGCTCCCCATCTTCTGCGTCTTTGATTTCATGTCTTAAGAGGATGCCAAAAAGAATCTTTCCCTGTATTGCAAAGACCACATAGGTTCAGCAAGAAAAGCAAGCGGATTTTGCAGATGCAGTCTACTAGTAGGTCGAGCTATTCTCAGTGATCAGACAAGTTGGTTCTCTCTAGTACATGAAGCCACAAGACTAACCTGCACTCGCCTATACGAAGCTAGAGTTGCCAAAGGTTCTTTAGCCTTGTGCGGTTGTCCAGACTGTTGGTCGAGATTAATCATCTGACAGCGATTGCATCCACCTAAAGACTGCACATGAATAAATCAAACTAATTAGCCACAAATTTCTGGGAAATAAAAGGTCCACATCTGCATATAAAGAATTGATCCTCTAAAGGTACAGTGTTGCCACGAATGAAGATGCATATGTTATCAAGATGTTAGTTCTTTCAGTACTATGAATTAAGACACCCTATTATAAGGCATAGTCTTCATGAGAGGATTAGCCCTTATGTGAAGAAAAGATATTAAATAAAAGAAAATTTTTAGTTGGACTAGTGATTTTGCCTTCAACATAGCTAAATGGCTTGAAAGAGATTCATATAGTAACCCCAAATTGTAGGGACATTGCAGCTTCTAGTAATTGCTGCTGCATATTCACAAGATTACACTACATCGATTTATGTTCATAAATTTCCCTTAAACAGAAGTCAACACCTCCCGTAAAATCTGCCTTGTGCTTTGAGCTTTCTCAAGTACAGTTATGCTCTGCTGCTAACCACATCACATGATGAAGATTGGTGTTCATGAGAATACAATTTTAAATGAGTTGTGCCAGCCACATCCTTGCACACTAGGTAGTTGAGTAATACATTTGAAATCTGTAATAAGGGTTCTGAAAACTTACAGTAAAACGAGCTTTACCAATATGAAGGCTTTTCCAGTCATCTTCAGCAAATGGTTCTGCTCCTGAAATAACAAGATTGGGACGAAATCTCATCGCATCAACAAGCACCCGTTGTACACATCCAGAGTTGTCTTTCAGAAAATCTAATGTGAACA